GCAGGCCTGGCTGAAATACTCGGGTGTCAATGAAGGTCACCTGTCAACTTAGAGCAATGCCTGAAGATTACTTGGTGTGGCTATAAACGACCATTTATACGGCCCAGCATCATCAACATTGAAAAATGCCCTGGCACGAAGTGGTTAAAGTGGTTGTTCAACTTAAAAAATGTTCATGGTCAAATGGCAAGATGGAATGAAGTATTTGCCATAGACCTGGAAATCGTCACAACAAAGCATAAGCCTTGTCACGTTATGATTAGGAGTTGATTGACTTGAATACATGTAACAGTGATTTTTCTGATGAACAAGTAATGAGTAGTGTTGCTAGCATTACAACAGCTCGCTTGAATGAGAATGAATTCAGATGATTACAAAAGGACAATTCTTCTGTGGGTGTGATCATAGGATGGGGACAAAAAAAGCAGTGACTGCCCTCCAGACCATCAGATTTTGGGCTGTAGTCGAATTGTTAAAGGCTACTGGATCAGTGGGAACAACTGCAAATAAGAACAGTTTACTGTATAGAAAATTTCACTCTGATGAAGGTACATTTCTACAGTTGTTGGCGCCAGATACCAAAACTTATGAAGTTTTTACTCAAGCTCACACAGCTCGTACAGGTGGCCACTTGGTAAGAACAGATACCTTGAAGAAAATTCAACGCTCATTTTATTGGATCGGCTACTGTAACTAAATAGACTCCTGGGTCAAACAGTGTGCATCCTGTGCCACAAGTCAGTTGCAAGCTCCCATATTTGATGCAGAACTTTGCCCTTTTCAGGTTGGTGTACCTTTGCAAAAAGTTGGAATTGACTTTTTAGTCCTCTTCCTCGGTCCAAACATGGAAACAGATACATTCTTGTTGTTACTGATTATTTTACGGAACGGGCAAAGGCTTATCCTTTGCACAGTCAGGTTGCACAGACGGTAGCTTGAGGACTGATTGAACAATTCATTTGTAGATATGGTGTACCAGAAAATATATATTCTGATCAAGGTACAAATTTTGAAAGTAAAGTATTCTGGTCAATATGTCAATTGTTACGAATCTATAAAACACGTACTACCCCTTATCATCCTCAATCTGACAGACTAACTGAAAGACTGAATTGTACCATTCAGACAATGCTAACGTTTTATGCAAGTTAAGACCAATCCGACTGGGACGAGCAGTTAACCTTATGTAATGATGGCTTATCTGGAATTACTCCAGACTGAACGATGTTTGGCCAAGAATCGTCATTGCCATTCAATTTATTTGTTAACAGTCCAGAAGATAACTGTACTAATCCCAGAGGATTATGCTGGTAAACTCTACAAATGCATGCAACAAGCATTTCACGTGGCCAGAAATATAATTCAAGCTGAACAGAGAAGATAGAAACATTTGTATGATGTCAAACTCAAAGGCAAAACATTGGTGATAAGGTATGGTTATATGTCTATACACAGAAAAATGGTCTTACACCTAAACTGCAATTTCATTGGATGGGTCCGTTTCAAGTTGTAAAAAGAATTTCAGATGCAGTGTATTGAATTAAAAAACTAGAGAAGGCAAATGAGTACAAGATCCCACACTGTTTTGCCTATGACTCCATAGAATTCAACCTTTCTTCAGAGCACTAAAGAATCAAGGAGTTGACTCAGCCCACATCAATATCATACGAGACCTGTACAATGGTGCTACATCCACTCACAGAAACTCCACAGAGACAGCAACAAAATCAGCCTTGAAAGGGGAACAAGGCATCATTAACAACATCAACTGGGAAAATAAAGGGCTAAATGCTGATGGTGAATACATCTCCCGCTTGATCTATGCCAACGATATCATCTTAGTTGCAAAAAATCAAAGGAATTAGAAAGCCTGCTAAATGATTTCCACAAAGCTAGTTAACCGGTTGGTCTTAACATGCTTCAAAGTGACTAAGTTCACTTTGAAAGGGAGGTGTGGCTCGAAAGGGTAACACAACAACTGTATGGCAGCTATTAAACTGATGAGCAGGATGGTTCAATGAAGAAAACTGTCTGCGTATGATGCCCAGATAATCGGAAAAGGAACGCATTCAATGAATACATGCTGTCAATAATGACATACGGAAGCGAAACATGGGCATTAAACAACACAATTTATTGAAATTGGTGGATTCAGGACTTTGAAAGCTAATAAAAAAAAACAAATACCTGCCAAACTTTGATGAGCTGATCGAGGCTACTGGAGCTTTTTATGTATTTCACAATCTCTTCTGCCCGTCTTCGTTGACTACGCTCAATAAGAACTTGAACTCCTTCAAATTCACAACACCTGTAGAGTTGTCCTTGAGAGTTGACAAGAGCTGAACTTGCATCATGTGTCAACAGAAGTTTCACAATGCGACTAAATCCTAAGATAGATGAGATATAAGAACTGAAAGTTAATATCACTTACATGTACATACGTGTACATGGGAAAACTAAGTGAAACTTCTTAATCAAAATATGCCACATTATAAGCATAGTGTTATTATATACCTGGACTGTATAAATCATGTGACGGGCAGACTAGAAGGGACAAACAGGCACAAACAGGCTTACACTGATTGATAGGAGAATTGATATGAAATAGGAGTCTGAGGTTTAAATCTGTAATGCAAATGATTGTGAATTGCTGTATGGGAATAAAAGATGTGCATGTGGCAGTGCACCAGTCAGAAGAGTTTTGGATCTTCACTGAGATGGACGTATTGAAAGAGTAATGCGATGATAATGCGAGTTAGACTGCAGTGGGGTACCTGGGAGGGACCAGGTAGGGCTGGCAATACAGATTTGTTTTTTCTGTTTGTTTGTTTTTTATTTTGTTTTGGTAGTCCATTTTTGTTTCAGTGATATTGCTCATATCATGATAACAATCATCCCAAAATTGTACAACACTCAGAACTCTCAGAAACTGTAAATATTGTAACGGACAATTGTATAGCCTTTTTCATGTTTTATTGCCATGTTAATCTTTCGTACGCCGCCGGCGGTGATGAGGGCCGCCGGCGGAGGGCCTCCAGCAGAGTGCCCTGACCTGTTTCTCTTGTGCTGGGTGCGCACCGGAAATTGGGTTCTATTTTGGGGCGTTGTGGTTTGGCGGGCATTGGAGGGAAATTGGATAAGTGCCAGGGTGGCCTTAGAAATTGTTACACATTGTGATACATGCTGTGTTTTGTAGAGCTCCAGTGTCACGTAAGCAGTTGTTGTTATTGTTGTTGTTGTTGTTCTGACGGCCGTTTGGAAGGTTGTGCACCGAGTTTAGTGAACAAAACAAAAAAATTCTTTTTTGGAAGTCCTGTATCTGTCCCCCTCATTTGTGTTACCAGGTTTTGAGGGACAATAGCACCCAGGTCTACGCTACAATATCAATGCATGAAGAACAGGTTATTCTTTATTTTAATTAACTATTTGCTACCAGGTTTAATTTGAAGTTGCATGACATAAACCAGGGGGATTTCAAGATTTTCTGCTTTCAAAATTCTTTAAAAAAAAATCATTTCTTCATTTACTGGACATTTACACCACACGAACGATTGTCTGGTGGCTACTCTAATCTGAAAGACAACATCTACTGATGTCTGAGTATTTTAGTCAGGCCTGCTGCCTGGTAAAAAGAGCCAAGATTGTGCAGAGTTACATAATTTTCTTTTGTTCCTGAAACTGGCACAGTGCGCTTCTAGCGTCTTTTCAATAGAGGCCAGATTAACATGCAGCGGTATTGTATTGCTCATTACTGGAGCACTTTTGTCCCCAGTGGTAATCCGCTGGTGCTAAATGCCATAAACAGTGGCATCTTTCAAAACAATGACGGATTTCCTACACTACTCACAACTGAAAAAATGTTAGCAATTTCAAGCAGCTCAGTTTTTCGTTCTGAGTACAGTCTTTAGTTACAAGGCCCAGTTCCCTTTGTCCGACTTCTGGCACCCCGACTGTACACATAAAGAAAACGTACCTGAAACTGGGCTCCCTGGCAGCAAGTGCTTAAGTTACATTTCACTTTGGGCAAGTTCACTTTGGGTCACTTTTCAATTTACATGTGATGCGCACCACATTGTACACCTTCAGAACTACATGTCGCAACGACATGAAACTAATGTCACAGTGAAATAATGGCCCATCAAAATTTGGCTAAGCTCATGATGAAGTCAAGCACTGTATGTGAGACATCATCTGAAAATCTGCTTTAAGGGCGGCCACGCCCAAATCTAAGACTGTTTTCTCCAAGTGCAGATTCTGATCACCAGGTCAGTTCCCGGTCATGCCTAAACCTGTACACTGTTTTATGGTAGCTAAAACATCCCTCAGGTCTCCTCTAACTACTTTTCATTATACTACTGTGGAAGTACAAGTAATACCAGGTCACAACCCAAACAGCTGCAAGAGTCAGCACATGTCTGTAAACGAAGAGATCCAGTTCCTGATGACCCTATGGGCTCCTTGGGGTGACTGAATCTTTCAAGGATTATAACTCTGCAGAGGTTGGGGTCTAGCCAATGGAAGTCTACAGGCTTGTGGTGTGCCTGGGGTTAGGACTACAAAAAATCTATGCCAAGTTGGCCCATTGGGAAAAAAGTTATGACCATATTTGGTGATATGTTTCGATCTCAATCACCGTGTTGTTGACATCAGGGCTGCATAATGGAAAGTGTAGGAACTTGTAACCACTTTTAATTTAATAATAATGAATGGTATTACGTATGATTACATAGGTGGTGCCTGTGCCTAATGCACATGCGTTAGGCCCATAGGTTCAGTACATGCCTAGGTATACAGTTCAGGTTCATCTTTCATACTATTAGTAGCTGAATACATGTTGAAAATTTTAATGGTACTAGTTTTAATAGCATGGGGAGGTCAGACAAGAAGCTGAAGCTGGTACTGGGTCTCACCTTAGCAAAAGCAAAAACATGTAGTTTAAACAATCACAATTAAGTGAAATGAATGGATGTTAAAATACAGCTGAAGACCTCACAGGGTTGTTAAAATGTAGAACTTCTTTAAGACCCAGAAACCTGAAACTGTCTCGAGGGTATTAATTTTGGAAGCCAGAGGGCCCCATGGAAATTACTTTTTAACCACAGCAAGTTTGGCACTAAAAAAAGGCCACTTGGGCTTAGATTTTTGAAGTGGCAACACACAACTTAAACCCACTGCCTCCCCATCTCCACCATATGACTAATAATTTTAAATTTTCACTGGTTAAATGGCAGGAACTACCTGGGAGAGACATGCAGTTCCCCAAAATAAACAAAATACAAAATTTGTGCCACTTATTTCGTAGTATAATTTTAAAGTCAGTTGTTAGTAATGTTTCATGTTTGTTTTTCTTAAACACTACGCCAAGCACCCTCTTGTACCACCTGTTCAAGCGGTGGAAAAATGGCGTGCTTTATGTAAGTTTTTCTTACTTTGTAAATGATAAATAAAATCACATGACAATATTAGGACAAGTACCTACTGGTTCCAGTGGGGTTTTGTCAGTATGGCAAGTGTGCCAAAGAATTCCAACCTTTTATGACAGGTTTGGCATGTCTTTCTATAACAGCTTTGCATTTTTCTGCCAATTGTGGCACGCCATTGGCAAGTGTGCCTGGCAAATGTGCCAGAATTTCTGCCAAGTGGGGCAATAGAAAGTGGTTTTGAAATCAGCAAAAAACACTTAAACCTGCCGCTCGAAATCTATGCCAAAACCCAAAACATGGTGTGAATGTGTATTTTGTGCCTATATAGTTGGAGAATAAATGTAGTTTAAACAATCACAATTGAATGAAATGAATAGAAATGGTGTTACAATACATAGTTCATGAATTTGTAATCTGACAAAATCCTTCCCCATATTAAGTGTGGGTCGGGTCTACTAGAGAATTCCTACCCAAACAGTCACTACATATGCATACTTCCCACGTGCGTACTCTTCATTCACTGAAAAGATTTATCACCCGTGGTGCACCCTGATCTTCCACAATGCAGTGCGGTATCACCGCCATGATCATTCTTATACAGTAAAAAGATAATCGATG